CCCCCCCCCACCCACTGGTGCCACCCCTGATTATTGCTGCTGCTACAGTTTCACAAAACGACAGCATAAACGTACGTTACTCGTGCGTTGTTTGGAGAAAACATTGTGTGTTTGTGGGACAAGAGTGTATTCTTAAGTTTGATTGATAGACTACTCCGGAAAGATCCATTAAAGTAAGATCAAACAAACCGCCGCAATGTAAAATCGTAATTGTGAATGGACTGTGTCTGACGTCATTCACGTGACCATGTAGTTTAACTATTAGTTGGGGGTAAAAAATTCATCATAAATCATGAATCCTGTTAATTATGTCAAACATAACAATTCTAGGTATAAACCAGGTAATATAAAAATTCTTATTTACATGCATTGTTGGTTTAATGTACATATAGCTACTAAACGAAGGCAAATTAAGTTCAAGTTTCTTTAAGTACAGCATAGTAGGGGCCTATAGAGAAATTTACCTTTTCATGAGGTATTGAAAATTTGATGTCAGTATCTACTTGAAAATTTGATTCAGGGATTATTGAAAATGAAACAACGTTGGTCCTCACAGCAACATCCACGTTCTTTGATCTTTCAGAAAAATAAAAGATAATATAATAAAACTGCTTTGTTTATTGATGACCACCACCAATTTCATGGCCATTTTGACAAAACTCAAAATAGGCTAATATTGATGTCAGCAAAATGGTGACGTTCATAATAATATTACATCACAGAAATTATATTCACAATTAATGAAATTCGTATTGCTTAAAATAACTTCTTAACATTTTATAGTTTATAAGCTGGCCATGTTAGTTGTTTTGTTAACTTACCCTAAGACTGCTACTCCAGGTAGGCCATCGCTGAAAAACACTTCGCTGAAAACTATGTATGTAATCTTAATCGGCTCTGAGAAAAACAATATGAAACCTGATATTAACAATAACAATAATAATAACAAGAGCAGTAGGCCTCATAATAATAATAATAATAATAATAATAATAATAATAATAATAATAATAATAATAATAATAATAATAATAATAAATTTAGGAAAAACTCCGAGTGCCTTGCAATTATGTAAAAAATTAAAATCCAATTCGGCTTTGTTCAGATTTCAGAGTTACTATAGTTGGTCAAACTTATTGTCAAACAAATCAATCTATCTATTTAATATTCAGCATGATAATTACCTATATACATATAGTCTACAAGAAAAGTATTTGGTTCATTTCTGTTTTGTTTTTTGTTAACTGATGATGGGTTGAAGGCAACCCGAAACATGTCTGCCATTAAATCTTTTGTGTTATTTTTAAAATGCGTCGTATTTTTTGTCAACTTACGTCCATTTGGTTGTATTATCAAGGATTTCAGTTCAAGAAGATTACCAGTTTCTTTATTAAGGAAATATGAAAAGATTACTCTTCGTTTGAACAAAGCCGAATTGGATTTTAATTTTTTACATAATAATAATAATAATAATAATAATAATAATAATAATAATAATAATAATAATATTTTATTGTGTGACACATTCAAGACCTAACTCTACTGGTGGCAGTAGAGGTAGGTCTTGAATCGAGAAAAACGCTTCCCACCGTGGGGAGAGCTTAACACAATTCGTCGGGAGTAAATCCTATCCTATGTATATTTTACAGATTATGATACTCTAACATCGACTAAATAAATCTTTAAAATCTATAAATCGGTGGGGCTTCTAATGTGCATCACCCCCTGAACAATGGGAGGCTTTTGTCCCATCCGCTCGAAGAAGCAATACAACACAACACAATTAAATACAAATAATGAAATATTAAAATGGTACTAATTAATTATATAAATCGTTATTAAAATAAACTTCACACTATCACAAATTTCAACATTTTTATCTTTAAAATGTTCATTAACATTAGGCCTATTATATTTATTTAAGTGAAAGTAAATTTATTAATTAGATAAAGTATAAAGTGGTATATTAATAAATGACATAACAGACCACTTACCTGTTTTTGCTTTTGTTGGATATAAGATGGAATATGAGGTAGAAACTGATTATATTTTTAAAAAAGACGTAAATGAAATTGGTATTAATAATTTTAGGTCTGACTTAAGAAACATAGATTGGAGCTGTTTCATGAATACAAATGATCCCGAATTGGCTTATAATCAATTTATACATGTTTTCACTGATTTATATAACAAAAACATTCCTTTAAAAAAAATAAACATTGGTTATTTTAAAGAAAGAGGAAAAAAGCCATGGTTTACTCCTGGATTAAATAATGCATGCAAGAAAAAAAAAAACAGATTATATAAATTGTTTCTTAAATACCAAACACAACATTCAGCAAATAAATATAAATTATATAAAAATAAGCTTACTACAATTCTTAGAAATGCTGAAAAAAAAGTATTATAGTGATATTTTGCAAGAAAAAGAGAAAAACATCAAGGCTACCTGGAAAATACTGAATGATTTAACCAAGAAGAGGAAGGTAAATACTGGGTTACCGAGAGAATTTAAACAAGGTAATGTTACTTTTCATAACCCTAAAGATATCTCAAATGCTTTCAATACTTTTTTTGCAAATATTGGCCGTGAATTAGCCAGCAAAATACCGCTAAATTACAGTGTAAACTTTAGATCTTTTATGACAGAAAGTATACCTAACTCTTTATTTATAGATGTTGTTACAGTAGAGGAGGTCCTTACTGAAGTTAGTTATTTTAGCAATAAGCATTCGTGCGGGCACGATAACATTGATATGTATATGGTAAAAGCGGTCATTAATGAAATAGTTAATCCTGTAACACATATTTGTAATTTATCGTTAGAAACTGGTGTATTTCCAGATAAGCTCAAAATTGGTAAAATAATTCCTATATATAAATCTGGTGATAAACAAGATTTTAATAATTATCGGCCGATTTCTTTACTCCCGCAATTTTCTAAAATACTAGAAAAAATATTTAACAAAAGACTTACGAATTTTATAAATAAAAATTAATTACTATATAATGGACAATTTGGCTTTAGGCCAAATATGTCAACAGCTAATGCGCTTCTCAAACTAAATGAAGATATATCATCTGAAATTGATAAAGCTAACTATTCTATCGGGGTGTTTATCGACTTAAAAAAGGCGTTTGACACCATCGATCATGGAATACTCCTAAAAAAGTTGGAATTTTATGGAGTTCGAGGTGTTGCTGCAAATTGGCTAAAAAGTTATTTGTGTCATAGAACACAAACGGTAACTATTCAAAACGTAACATCTGAACCTATTGAAATTAATTGTGGTGTACCACAGGGCTTGATCCTCAGACCTTTTTTTTTTTATTTTACATAAATGATATTTATCGAGTATCTCCTTTTTTTAGTTATATCTTATTTGCAGATGACACTAATTTAACATGCTCCGGTAAAAACTTAAAACAACTATGTGAATTAGTAAGTATGGAGTTAAATAAATTGTCCACATGGTTTGCAGTAAATAAACTTTCTTTAAATATTAAGAAGAGTAATTATATGATTTTTTATTCTAAAAATGTAATTAATGAAACGAATATAACTATAAATGGTGTTGAACTTGAACGGGTCTACAGTACAAAATTTCTTGGCGTGCAAATAGACTGTAAATTAAACTGGAAAAGTCATGTTAAATTAATACAAACAAACATTGCCAAAAACATTGGTATAATTTATAAATTAAAACACCTGTTAGAAAGCAAAGTATTATTTACCTTATATAACTCATTAGTGTTGCCTTATATTACCTATTGTTGTGAAGTGTGGGGTAACACTTATAAATCAACGTTAGAATTTTTATTTCTCTTGCAAAAAAAAAGTCCTCAGAACAGTTGCAAAGGCAGATTTCTTATGCCACACCAAACCTATTTTTTACTCGTTTGAAACTTTAAATATTTTCGATCTTATTGAATTGAACACTGCTGTTATTATGTATAAAGCACATAAGAAATTGCTTCCACCAATTATCCAGGAGTACTTTAGGCCACTCACGGAAATGCATAATTATGCTACCCGACAGCGGGAACATTTCAATTTTTGTATTAATTATAGGAGAACTACACTAAAATCAATGTGCTGGACAAATAAAGGGGGTAGTCTATGGAATAGTCTACCTAGCAGTATAAAAGATTGTAGGAATACTATTTTATTTAAAAAAATATACAAAAAGAATCTATTAGGTAAATATAATTTAGATTTATAGCGAAAATCGGTGTTTTGCTATAATTTAGAATGTTATTATGTGTATTTTTATATACCGTATTGCCCAAAAAATGTCATTTTCACTTTAACAACAATAAATATACGTATGTGTGTGTGGGTGTATGTATGTAGGCCCTATGTATGTATGTATATATGTATGTATGTATGTACGTACGTACGCGTGTGCGTATGGGTGTATGTATGTATGTATATGTGTGTATGGTATGTAAATGTTTATATCTATGTATGAGTATATAGGTATATCTATATAGGTATATATATGTATAACGATTGAACAGTTTATTTTATTATTAAAACTTAGCTGTTATTAGAAAGAAGACATTATAGTTATAGGAATTCAGATTAACTTATTATTTACAAATTTTCTCTTATATTATTTTAGATTGTAGACACTGTACTTAATTTATTGCTTAATCATCTATAAATATAAAGAAACTAAAAGTAATTAAGATGTTGTTATTAATGAATACAAAATATAATTTACAGAAAAGAAATAGAATTGTTCTAATAAATTTTAAACTTCTTTTATTTAAGTAAAATAGGCCTTTGAATTATTTTTGAACCTTATATGTAAAAGAAATATTTAATTATGTAATTTGGGATTTCCATTACAAGCTATGCTTCAGGAATTTCCCATTTTCTTTGATCTTTAAAAATGTTGTACATTTATATTTTTCGTAATTTTTTATGCTCAAAGGAAATAAATATTTTTGTCATTGTCATTGTCATTTGTCAAAGTATCTCAACGCATATCATTTGCTTACCATTTCTACAGTTGAAGAATGTTGGATTAATTGAAAGTGGACGGTCTTTGTCGCTGATCTGCATATTTAATACCAGGTCATCATCACAGTTCGCATTCTGGAATCCTGCCACTAAATCGAATCATCATCATTGTTATCATTATTATTTGTTGTTATTCTTTGGACCATGACAAATCATTCTAAAAAGTTTCATTCAGATTCATTGATCAGTGTTTGAGCTAAGAGTTCTTGGGTTCAGGTATACGTGATGAAGGGCGATGCCCGAAAACGTTCGTGTACTCAATAAACTACTTTTGGCAATACTAGACACCTCTCAAGAGTTTTTATTTATATATATGTTTGCCGATGCAGCTTTTAAGTTATTATTTATTCTAACAGCTCTTCCACTGTTGTTAACCATGCATTTTTCATAATTGTTCAAAAATTTGTTGTGGTTGTGGCAGCTAGACTTTAGAATGGTCTTTCACATTCTGGTTTCTTTTATTTAGAATTTCCCATATATATATA